TTTTTAACATTTTCTAATGGTGGTGTGCCTCGTGATTTTTTTCATGAAAAAAGTGTGCCTTTGCACAAAAAAGGTTGAAAAACACTGTTCTAATCTACCCACAGACATTGTTCTTTGATAAGTGGTTTGGGGGAGGGTCTGAGTTAGTCTTGATTTCTGGCAAATGGGCAACTGGACAAGTTGTTGCAATTTTCTGTGCAATATTTTTAAAGTCAGTTTGCTTTCTTCCTAGGAATAGTAGAAAGTCACCAGCTCCAAATCATGGCTTGATTGCTTAAGGTGGGACTAGAACTCAATCACCTAGTTTGCAGCCTGGTGCCTTTGGCCACCATACCAAACTGGCTCTCAAGTGTTTTGTTTCCTAGCATAAAACTGCAGGCCTATGCATATGGGATCAAATGGCTTGTTTTTATGGCTTGTTTTTTTTTTAAAAAAAAAATTTGTATACTACCTAGAGCAGGGGTAGTCAACCTTTTTACACCTACCGCCCACTTTTGTATCTCTGTTAGTAGTAAAATTTTCTAACCGCCCACCGATTCCACAGTAATGGTGATTTATAAAGTAGGGAAGTAACTTTATAAAATTTATAAAGCAGTTACAGCAAACCCCTACTGCCCACCATAAAAGCTGGAATGCCCACTAGTGGGCGGTAGGGACCAGGTTGACTACCACTGACCTAGAGTCACATTTGTGATGGGTGACCATATAAATACGATTCATTAATTAAAAAGTCAGGTATAGACTGAAACATTTCTCTATGAACATAATCTTATAAAAACATCTACAGTTCCCTTCATGGATCATTTTGGTCTTGATAACAGTTTTAAAAGCCACAGAATCCTCTTTCACTGTTTTCACTTTGCTGCTGTTATTATGACAAAACCAAGTAATTCTGAAAAGAATATGTACTAAGAAGCATATGCAAGTTTTTACTACTCACATAAAAAGCACAAGCTGGATGACAGGAGCTATGCGAAGCAATTCTGAGAAGGAGTTGACAAAGAGATCATAGGACAAGAGGAGGAATTGCAAAGACAGCACCAGGCTGTAATTGCTGGTCTGGAGCATCTTTCTTCCCTAAGACTCTGGGATCTCAGCACCTGCATTCCAGGCAGCAGAAACAGCTTATACTCATGTTACAAAAGAGGCAAGCTTCTTCCTCCAGATAGTTTTGCTGGATGGAAAAGTAAAGGGAAACAAAAGTAACAATGAAAGATAGAAAAAGACATCTTATTAACTGCTGCTATGGGTACCGAAAAATGATCAAGCACTATTCCTTGAAGAAGGGCAAAAAAGATCTCTGGCTAAATCAAAGAAAATCCCCTTTTTTCTTTTTTTCCTCTTTCCCTTTCTTTTCCTTTTCTTTTCTGCTTTGGAATCATTGACGACTTCCGGTGATTGCCTGGACTAATCTCTGCAGGGTTTTTTCGGCAAAGTTTTCCCGAGGTTGGTCGCCCTTGCCTTCTTTTTAGGGCCGAGAGGGACTGACCTAAATTAGCCCCTCTAAGCGAGGACTAAAACTCACGGGTCTCCCGTTTTCTGGTATCTTAATAGCTGCAGCAAATGGGCTCTTTATTTCTTTTTTTTTTTTATTGCCAACAGAATGTTTATACTTGGCACGGAACAGAATACTACATTATTTTTTAAACCGAAAACATGGCCTATAAATCAACCCGCAGACCTGGGACAGGAGACCACGGGGGTTTGGGGTGGGAGACATCTTACGATCTCCTCCGCTTACGTGGGAAAGGGGGAAACGCCCACTTCTAAGATACAGGACTTCAATAAATGCGGGACTTACCTGCGTTACACAAGCCTCTCTCACCCGGAGATTACGAGATCTCTCCTAGGAGTCGAGTTTACACCTTATCGGGAATCGAACACAGCTCCGCGTTATGTTTAGACACGAGAAACCGAAGGAAGCGCAGTCGCTGCGCCGGGGCAGCCCCCAAAGAAGAGCAAACGATGCAGGACAGTTACTTTGCGCCGCCACAATCGGTCCCCATGGCGATAGCGCAGCGGCTCGGAGGAGGCGCCGAAGCCAGCAGGCCCGGAAGTGCAGCCGGGGCCGCAGAGATCATAGATGCCTTAGAGGTCGAGGCCGAGGTGTAACTTCGGGATGGTTGGGCGCTTCCCGACCAAACAAACCATCGCCTCGATCCTCCAGCAACCTAAGGAAGGGGGTGCTAGTGCGCTACGGCGTGGCACGAACTCCCCGCTTTTTCTCCCGCATTAAGCAAATGGGCTGTGGAATAGGAATGTCATTTATCGTTCCTATTGGATGTTAGCTTTGTTCATGTACCTTCAAATCATTTTCGAATCCTAGCGATCATATGGGTTTTCTCCATGAGGATACTGAAAATAATAATATTTGGCCAATGCAAATAGTTTTCCACATGCTTACCATCTTTTATCTATGTTTATGTTTTGTTGATTGTATTGTAATTTTAATACAGCAATAATTATGTGAGCCATCCAGAGCAGTTGGAAATTCGGGAGATACACAAGTTTAATAATAACAATAATGCAGTTCTGTAAATGTGTTGTTAGTTGCGAAGTCGTGTCCGACCCATCGAGACCCCATGGACAGTTCAGCTTCTGGACTTACGCACATAGTGAATGAGGCAGCTAATAATTCGTGCTAGGAATCTTAACCTTTCAATTATTGTGTGAAAAATATTTTCATCGATGTCTCAACTTGTTTGCATTAACATGTGCATGGCAGGCAATTGAAGGCAGTGTGGAGGCGGGGTTCAAGAAGCTTATGGAAAAAAGGCTAGATAGCTTTAAAACCTTCCAAAAAAAGGAGATTTCTTCCAAACTGCACGTGTGGATAAGAAAACCACATTTCCCAGACATCCAGATAATTCGGAAATCTTCATTGGGCGGAGTTTCCACTGTAAGTGCGGACAGAGGTGCTTAAGTTCTTCGTCCGCTATGAGCGGCACGGACTGTGTTGAAGGGGCTGTTGAGGACTGGAACTACTTTTCCCGACTCTCTCTGCGATTTAGGCGGAAGCGAGGTATGAGTGGTGTGCATTTTCGTTGTAATAGGACTGAGGAAGGGAGTAATAATATTATTTAATATCGGCAATCATTGTGACTTTCAGTCACCCACACACTCATTCTTGTAAAGGAGCAATAGCATATGCTACTGGTATTTTGCGCAAGAAGATTTTGCTGCTGCTGTTACTTATTTTTTCTTTTTTGGCAATATCCTGTGGTTTTGATTGGCGAACCGACAAAGTTCCTTTATTTTCCCTAAGGAGAGTGCCGCACACTTGCTTGTTCTTGGATCTGCTGTTGCACGCTCTGCTTCTTTAGAAACCATTAATACAATTGGTAATCTGTATGTTCTTGTGTGGGTTTTATTATTCTGTCTTTTACCAACACAGTTAATGTTCTTTAGGCCAGTTAATCTCAAAAATGGCTATGCATTTTTCTTAAAATGTAGCATGGTGATGCATTTTATTGTTTACTCAATAAGATTAGTATCTGTCCCTCCAGCAATATAGAGCAGGAACATCCTAAAATTTGTAGCTCTTTAATAAAGCCCAGCTTTGAAAGCTTAGCCTTTAGTGTTAAGTGTTTTGCTATTGGTCAAAGAATAAAAAAGGAAATATATCTAAACTATTTATTTCTGTTAAGTTTGTTGTTGCAAAGCACCATTCTTTCTACTGACATGGACAGATTATGATCCAAAACACTTGTGCAGTCCATTTTAGCTTTTCTTTTTTCCACATCTACTTCCAGCTATAGTGCTTTTGTGAGTTTGTATACCTAGGTGGTATACAACCCTGACTGCTCTTTAGAAGGTCAGATCCTGAAGATGAAATTCAAATAATTTGGCCACCTAATGAGAAGGAAGGACTCACAGAAGAAGAAAGGGACAACAGAGAATGAGGTGGCTGGATGGAGTCACTGAAGCAGTAGGCGTGAGCTTAAATGGTCTCCAGGAGATGGTAGAGGACAGGAAGGCCTGGAGGAATGTTGTCCATGGTGTCTCAATGGGTCGGACATGACAACTAACAACAACAACAATAGCAATATAGCAGTAGACTTATATACCGCTTCATAGGCCTTTCAGGCCTCTCTAAGCGGTTTACAGAGAGTCAGCATATTGCCCCCAACAATCTGGGTCCTCATAGGGCCACAACTGGTGCACCAGGCGAAGCTGGGCAAAGGCCCCCCTGGTCACAGCCGACAGGTGATGTTCTAATGTCAGCTGTGGATCCAGGAGGACCCCCCAAGTTGCAGACCCTCTCTGAGGGGAGTACATTTTCTTCCCCCAGGCTTAGGGATGGACTATCTGGGCTGTCCTTGGGGGGGCAACATCCACAGCCACTTGGTCTTATCAGGAT